TGCCGGAGGTTTCTTCCTGTTAAAAGGGAGTTTTTCCTTCCCACTGTCGCCAAAGTGCTTGCTCATAGGGGGTCATATGATTGTTGGTTTTTTCTCTGTATCTATGAAGCGCCTTGAGGCGACTTTTGTTGTGATTTGGCGCTATATAAATAAAATTGAATTGAATTGAATTATAACTCAGCAGTATAATGCATCATAAAACAATATCATACATTCACAATAAATAAATCAGCAGTCTAATGTAATGCAAATCAGTTTAACAAATGTAATAGTTATCACCTTCTTCTAATTCAGGACAATAATGCAAACTAAAGCTACATAATAATTCACAATCTTTAATTAGGGGTATAACATGGCATAAGGTAATATTATAATCCCACAGTCACAAAATAAACTTTTAAGATATTTTGATGCGAGAATGTAGCTGTGTAAAGTTCAACTATCTGCTCGATTTATCAAGACATCACATATTTGCAAAAATGCTCAGATGTTTTCGGAGAAGTCTATTTTTTTAATGCTTTGTGGCAGCTTTTGAACACCTGTGGCATCTATTAATGTCAAATCTAGCCTTTCTTTAACAACATAAGCAAACTGCTTTTATATTTAACCGACTTCTCTGTTTAATTACATTTTAAATACTAATGATAACATATAGTACTTGTTTTGTTAAAAAATGTGTTTAAAAACAAGTTTTGTTGTGAAAGCTATAATCCAGATTAGTGGCCTGTTAAATGGTTAAAGTCTAGGTTGGCTTTATAATTGAGAATAAAGTAATATAGCTTGTGCTTCTAAAGAATGGAATCATAAGAAACATTATGTTACATATAAACCCTGCCATATGTTAGATCTGGTCATTTTGCTTATTAGAAACTTTATATATTGGAAGTTAACTTTTAAATGGTAAATGGCCTGTATTTGTATAGTGCTTTACAAGTATGTAATGATTATGTAATGATTCTATTTAAATTAGGTGGTCTTTTTTTAAGCACATATCTCTTTAGGCCTAAACTGACAGTGCCAATACCACACATTCAGACACAGTAGTAGATGGTGTTTTTAATGTGTTAGTCTAATTTGGTTGTATGGGGTCTACATTGACCTTCTGTGTTATAAGTTAGAATGATTGCACAGCCATTAAGGATCAAATCAGCTTCTAAAAAAATTCTGTTTGTTCTCCCTCTGCTTGCTTCTTACTGTCTTTGAGAATCAGGACCAGCACTCCTGCTGTTGGACAGAAAGACATCAATCCAGTGGTAAGTATTTTGGTTTTGCAATATATTGATGTAGCCAGATGGGCTACTCGCCTTTCTTTTTCTCTCTCGCTCGCTCTCTCTCTCCTGCGCTCGCTCCCTTCACCGCGCAACTAGGTTAATTGGGAACCCACCTGCATTTTGATTGCAGGGTGGC